TCTTCTCTTCTTCTTCAAGCCAAGAAAGCTCCGAAAATCTCAAGAATAAAACAAAGGATGGAGGCTAGGGTTTTCTAAGGTGGAAGAGGGTTTGGAGGATGATAATGAACCATAAAAATGGGTTTAGAGAGGTTTAAATATGAAGGGAACCCTAAACGAATGATGGGCTTGGGCCAGAACAGCTGCCACGCCGTGGCAACTTTTGGGCACGCCGTGGCGGCTCAATGAAATGCGCGTGCCATTTTTTCAATGCCACGCCGTGGCCATCCTTGCACCACGTCGTGGCATAGAGTTTTTTCCCAAAAACTCCATCTTTTATCCCTAGGGAATAAAAGCTAAACCATACAAATACACGCGTGTTACACTGAGACTATGAAATTGAGATTCCTTGATGTTCACTCTTGATTCTTATTCCAAGAATCACTTCTGCCTCCCTTATATCCTTCATGGATAACTGAGATGATAAAAATTATTTGGTCATTTTAACATGCCTTTGATCAGTACCAAAGATTAACATATCATCTACATACAAGAATATGATCACTCCTTTGCTAGACTCATCAAACTTGCTATATACACTTGTTTTATTGATTCAACTTGAAACCATGAGACAAGACAACATCATCAAATTTTTTATGTCACTATTTTGGTGCTTGCTTTAGCCTATATAATGATTTAAACAACTTGCATACCTTAAGCTCATTTCCATGCATAAGAAAACCCTTGGGTTTTTTCGTATACACCTCTTCGTTTAAATCATCATTTAAGAATGTTGTTTTCACATCAATTTGGTGAATCACCAAATTATGAATTGTTGTTAAGGTAATCAACAGTCTAATGGTGGATATACGAGCAACTGGATCATAAGTATCAAAAAAGTCAATGTCAGGTTTTTGTTTAGAACCTTGAATAACCAATAGATCCTTAAACTTGTCAATTGATCCATCAACCTTCATCTTCCTTTTGAATATCCACTTGCAACCCAATGGTTTGCATCCAAGAGGAAGATCAGACAACACCCAAGTATTATTCCCCATGATAGAATCCATCTCATCATTTATTACTTCTTTACAGAAAGCAATATCTTGAGATTTCATTGCTTCATCACATGTTTTAGGATCCTCTTCAACACTAAAACAATACGGATATTGATTTGCAATTTCATCTATAGAACCCTCAACTAGGTAAAGCTGAAAATCTTTACCAAATGATTTAGCCTTCCTTTGTCTTTTGCTTCTTCTAAGTTCAGGTGATTCATTTGAATCAGGTACAAGTTCCTTGGTATTTCACTGGAACTAGAAACCAAGTCCTTTGGTCTAGGTATGGAAAAAACGATTTTCATCAAATATTGCATCCCTAGATTCTATAACGGTGTTAACTGAGATAGACACATTAGGTTCTATAACATAAAACCTATACACCTTGGAATGCTCAACATATCCCAGAAAAATATAATCAATACCGCTTTCACCCAAAGTCTTCATTTTTGGTTCAGTTAGCCTCACAACAGCTCGACAAACCCAAACTTTAAGATATCCTAAGTTTGGTTTCTTTTGTACCAAAGTTCAAAGGGAGTTACTTTGTTCCTTTTGTTTGGAACTCTATTTAGGAGATGACATGCAGTTAGCATAGCTTCTCCCCATAAACCATCACTCAAAGCTGAGTAACACAACATAGAGTTCACAATTTCCTTTAGAACTCTATTTTTCCTTTCAGAAATCCCATTTTGTTGAGGTGTATATGGAGAAGTTATTTCATGTATAATACCAACAGACTGTAAATAACTAGGATTATAATACTCTCCACCATGATCAGTGCGAAGTCTTTTGATTAAATCATTTTGTTGCAAGTCGACTTCAATTTTATAAGTTTTAAATTTATCAAGGGCTTCATCCTCGGAATGTAACAATTATACAAAGCAAAAACAAAAATAATAATCTATAAAAGTAACTATGTATTTCTTATTTCCTAAAGATGGAGTTGAATGCAAATTACATAGATCGCTATAAATTAATTCAAGCATAACATAATTCCTTTTAACATTAGGAAAAGGTTGTCTAGTTATTTTAGTTAGCATACAAGTTTTAGATTTTTCTATGTTAACATGAAAAGATGGTAATAATTCATTTTTATACATTTCAAGCATTCTCTTATAATGTACATGTCCTAAGCGAGCGTGCCATAAAGAAGAATAATCAATACTAGAACAAGCCATGTATATAGAACGTGCAACTTTATTGTTATTTACATTCAAGGTAAACATTCCATTACAATAATATCCAAACCCAACGAATGTACCACACTTAGATAATACATATTTATCAGATTCATAAACTTGTTTATATCCACATCAATTAATTACACCACTAGAAACTAATTTCTTTCTAATCTTAGGAACATGAATAACATTTCTAAGAAGAAGAGTTTTTCCAGAACTAAAACATAAAAACACAGATCCACGAACCACAACAGGTGCTTCATTATGGTCTCCCATGTACATCACCGATCCATCATTAACTACTTCATAATCCTTGAACCAATAGCGATCTTTACACACATGACTCTTCGCCCCCGAGTCTATCCACCATGCATGATCATCATCCTGAACATAGAATGATTCAGTAATTAATATTACATGATATATATATATATATATATATATATATATATATATATATATATATATATATATATATAACAACAGTAGTAATAATTTCAAAAATAAAATTCTGACCTTATGGTTTTGGACCTTGATCATTAGATCCTTGTCCAAAAGTTCTTGCACCAATTTTGTTCTTCTTCAAGCGACAATCTCACTTCATGTGATCGGGTTTGTTGCAATTCCAACACACAAGTTTTGTTTTCTTGTTTGAACCCTTATGATGGTCATATTTCTTCTTCCTTTTTCCATTTTTATTTTTCTAATGTTTGTCATCTTCCACCATGTTCACTGGAGATCCAAGAACTTCCTTTTCTTTTCCTTTGCCAATTTCTTGAACCCAAAGACCCTCTTCAGTTCTCAAATGACTGCCAAGTTGTACTAGAGACAACCCTTCTTTTTGGTGTTTCAGTGTGTGTTTAAAGTCTTTCCAGGATGGGGGCAATTTGTCAATAACACTTAAGATAGAAATAGATTCATCCATTTTCATTTTGTGTTGTTCAAATTGTCCAAAAATCCTCATGAGTTCATTGTACTGTTTCATGACAGGCCTTGAATCTTCCATCTTGTAATTATCAAAATTACTAACAAGAAATTTCTTACATGAGGCATCCTCTGCCATGTATTTGGATTTAAGGGCATCCCATAGATTTTTTGCAAATTCTTGATTTTGATAGATGTCAAAGAGAAAGTCAGACATACCATTTAGAATGTGCCAACGACATATGTAATCATCATTTTCACATTTGCATCTTCTTCTAGTATGTTCACAGGTTTCATCATCCATTGGTTATGGTGCGGGAATGCTCAAAACGTGAACCACTTTCAGGGTAGTAAGAAGGAAATGCATCTTCTTCTGCCAACGACGAAAATTGGTGCCTTCAAACTTATTCAACTTCCTGAATTTGAATGTCATGTCTTTAACAGATTTTGTCATTGATATTCTTTCAAAGAAAATCACAGATTTTGAATGTTAGAATTTTTGGGTCTTAAGAATATCATTATATTTGGATATTTCTTGGATCGTGATTGCAATCATTTTTCAAAATCTGTGATTTCGACCCTATAGCCTGGGGTACCATGAAATCAGATTTGGGATAATCCAAAGAATATCAATTTCGAAGTCAAGCCACTTCTAAATCAGAAACACATAATATACCTTGTTTTTGTGTTCTTAAGAGATAGAACAAATCAATATATGATTTTTGTGTATGTATGGTCCAACCTTTTTTCTAAAACCAGAGAAAAGTTCTTATACTAGAGAGAAAAGTAGTTAAACGGAAGTTGCCTCCTTTTGGCGCCAAAAATTGTTGGTTATTAAGACATAACCAACTCGTAACATCATCATGATATCACTAAAGGTTTTGTCGGGAAAATGCATGGCAGGAGTCATATTTGACATAGAAATCCATTTAGGTTTCAGGGCGCTTCCCTGAGCCCTGCCAGGGGCGTTGCATGTTAGAGCCCCGTATTCCCGAGTTCACATTTATCACTCCGGGTATGCACCCCGCACCTCCTAGCTCAGTTAGTAAATGGATCTCGGTCTATCTCATTATTAATAATAATTACACCAAAATATGTTGATAACACTAAAATCACCAACACTCTCCTACACTTTTAGAATTAATAAACTTACTACCTGACTAAATCAAATAAACAAAATAAAGGAGAAATACATAGCTGTTAAATAAAAGAAACGTGGGGAAACCAACACCATGCATGTGATCAAGTCGTGAGGGGATCCAGATGAACCAAACTGACCCATTTCTGCTGTTTTTGACCCGAGTCCACTGGGCTTGTATCTGGGCTCCAGTCCGATGCACTGACCATGTCTTCCGGGGCTTGCCTATCAATTGGTGTGTCATATTTTTACACCACATATGTGTCAATTTTCTATTTATCTTTTATGAGACTGACAATAGTGGTTTGTCTTGCTGGAGGGCATAAAATTGGAAGACTATCCCATTTCAATGGGAAAAAAACGTACCCTTCAAAAACAGTATGAACTTCAAGAGCTAGGCATGTTGTCATGTTGACACCACAAGAAATTCAAAACATTCTCCAATCATCAAATATCCTCTTTTCTTTTTCTTAAAAACTGATCATGCACATATCATATATATGAGGTTTTGTGACAGCAAAAACATGATCATGGAGGCTATTCACAGTTTTGTTTGCATACCGACACAACTAAAACAATTCGTGAATATTAGTAGATATAACAAACAGGGTATTTTGTTAAAATCTAAGCTTTTATATATGTAAGCCATGGAACACCATCAACCATGCACGTTCCTAGAAACAGGGTATTTTGTTAACTTGCTTGCACTCCATGTTACTCCTACTCTGTCCCCTGTTAAGTGGCGTATACAGCGGTTAATATAGGATCTAAAAAGAGTCTAATATCAATTGTAGATAATACAATCATTTAACTGAGTTTATTACTGTATTATATAATAGTACGCAGCTGATGCTCACCTGATTTGTCATTGGCAAATGATATAAAGGTTGACCAGAGATAGAGGATCCACCTTGTTGGGAGGAGATTGTTGGAATAATTGTGCCTGAAGGTGTAGTAGAATACACAGACTGAGATGTCTGTGATGGAAACTGTAGCTGTTGAGGATATAGAACAGGTCTTGGTTGGCCCCACGGGAATGATCGTGTGTGCACGTCATTTGGTGGCAACAATGGTCGGAATCCAGAGAAGGAAGTTGGAAATATAGGGTAGTTTACCGGAAAATAAGATCCAAATTGTGGCATTCCATGTTGCATACCAATTAATGGGTTAATTGTAAAGTTGGGATCAGCAAGATTTGGTACTTGAAAACTTGGTTGTCTTGCCATTGTCATGTAAAGACCTTGTGACATATGACTTCCCATAGATTGCACCATCTATTATATAAAGCTCAAATTATAGATATAGAAAAATATAAACAGCAGGTCAAGGAAAATACTAATTAAGTTATTGATATTTAAACCATAGCTTTTTCCTATGCATTGCAAAACTAGTTCTAATAAACATTATATGTGCAACTAAAAGTAAAAGGTGGAAAACCACAGTGACTTCAATTCTAAATTATATATTTTAAATATATTAATTAATTTTATTAGTCCATTTAAATTAATAGTTATACAATATAGAACTATTATTATTACGCTACTTTGATGATGGTTACAAAGATAAGTAGTTATAAAATAAACAACAATTATTATATTAAATATACATTTGTATTTTTTTGTTTTTTTTAAATTGTATGCTTTAATAATGAAGATATGTCTTATAATTTATAAATTAGTTGTTGTATTGTAGTAATAATCATTTTTAGTACTATAAGTTAGATGTTTTAATAATTAAGATATGTATTATAATTTATAAATTAGTTATTGTATTGTATTGATAAGGTCACATTACATTCATCAACTCTGTTACGATGATAAAGAGAAAATACCTGGACTTGCATTTGCAGAAATTTGATATACTCAATGGCATCACCTAGAATACCTGCTTTGTGTCTCTGTAGATGTTGTGAGTTTAGTTCTTAAATAGAAAAGGGAAAAGAAAGAAAACAAAAAACATCCGATCGAAAAAAAAAGAAACAAAGTAAAATGTGACTGTTGCTTGATACCAATGTCATTTTGTCATCACCTTGTTGCAGTTGGGAACAAGTGTCTGGAGTGTTCTTATTCTTTCACTTATTTTATTCCTGCGCCTCTGCACATAAGTGACAAAAAAAATGTCATTATCTTATACATACGTATACTATCACCCCTTTAAAGCACCGTTGTATTGTGCCACGAAATTTTCATCGTCACGGGGATTTTTTAATTGGTAAATGATTTAAAAAAAATAAAAAACTAGGAATTTATTTTTGCTACATGGGAAAATACAATCCAGTCCCTGATTTTAATTGCAAAACCATTTGTTATTAGAATATTTTTATAACAATATTGTTTAGAAGAAACATTTTATTTCATTATCTACTACTAACATTTAGTAGTCATATATATTGTCTAAAATCTCTGCGGCCCATATGGATAAAAGCACTTGACGTAAATCAAGTAAGCTAGTTGAGCCGCATCTACTAGACAAAATGGAAAATAATAAGATTTTTAAAGTTCAACAAGATTACGAACATGTTTGCTAATCATACCTCTCTTTAATATTTATCCATTTTTTTTTGTCTGTAGATGAGGGACATCCCCTGTAACTTTCAACCTTACACTTTAGAAAAACCCCTGTAAGATTTTTTGACATTTAATCATCTTAAAGTAATAAAAAAAGCCCATCACATGACAGAACTAATTAATCCGTCGGAACAACAATAATAAGGTTCTTTGAGTGAGAAATTAGTTGTAGTTGATTCTTTTATAGTATCTCACCTTCTCCGTAATGTTTGTTTTGGTAGCTTCCCTTCGACTTCCAGATTGCTGATAATCACGTTGCTTACTCTTTAGTTCTCTTTCCCTTATGTTTCCCTATAACCGAAAGAAACGAGCAATAGTTGTAACATGAAGTAGGTAGATCGACCTTCAACAAGAGCAGGAGCATTTTAGCTGTACCACTCTGCACTTTAGACTTGCAGTATTCTCGATTTCTCGTTCCTCTACTATTTGTACATGTTTTCACATTGGCAGGCATACTTGATACAGAAACATAGATATCTGAGAGGAACTTAAATGATTGGCCACATTATTATATATGTATGTAGTCTTACTTCAATATCATCAGCCTTGTTCTTTGTGCCACTAGACTGGCCCTGATGGAAGCTGTTGAAATAATCTTCTCTGGTAATTAAAGTACATGATGTTGCTTCCACAGGTGATGGAGAAGGAAGCTCTACTTCTGATAACACTTTGACCACGTCAAAATAGTTGCGGACCTCATGGCTAGTACTTTCTAGAGAGTCATGAAGTGCCTCACTACGCCATAAACTTCCTTCAGTAATCTCGTCTGATGTTCTTGCGGGGGCCTGTTTATTATTATCACCAGTCTGCATGAACAATGAATAATGTATTAATTATGCATCTGATGTGACTAAGTAATGCTTCCATGTCTTTATACTGGTAGTGGCATGGGAGTCTTTTGATACAAGTTGCTAGCTACATCTCAAACTTGTGTCAGAATTTTTTTGAAAACCTGGATACTTCTGGAACTTTAATGAAATACAATCTTTTTTCATGTGTGTGCATGATCTTTTTGAAGGGCTAGCTTTTGTTTTGTTTTTATATTATTGTGATAATTTTTGATCCATTTGTTCACAGAAAGGTAAAACTAAGATGGAAATATGAGTAAATATATGATATATCTATGCATGTTTTGTCTTTCTTGGATTATCAACATTAAAATGTATATCTCGGAGTCTCTAAATCCATGGTATGTGAAAGAAACCCCACCCATGCAAAATGTAGATCGAGATGCCTCCCTGTCTCTAGCCGGCCCAATCCCTCTGTGATTGATTTTGTCTTCTCTTGCAGTTTCTCATCTTTATTTTGCATTCTTTTATTTGGATTCATTCCTAGAAATAAGATTGAAGAAGATAAGTTTTGTAACACCCATTCACCGACGCACATAACCGTGATCATTGGCTGATCCGTATACTACATGCAAGGGGTGTTGGAAATTGAATTTTCAACAAGGGGTGCATGGACCCCACCCCACTTGGAAGTGGATCCTAATCTATATTTTACTAGCAAACTCCCATTAATCTTTTGCTGAAAAACCACTCTTGACTCTTGAGCCATCTATATTGTGTACTAACAAAAACTCAAACAACCCTTTTAATTTTTTCCCATTAAATTAACAATTAGTATATGAAAATATTACAATTTACAGTATGTCAAAGTCACGTTTTGTTTTGATATTTCATGAAATCTTGAAAAATAATGTTGCTTTTTATTTATTTTTTGGGTAAATTGTACAAAAGTCATTATGTTTTTACAAAAATTCAATTTAACCGTTAAGTTTTTTAATTTTATATAATGTTGACTACTTGATTAGTCAACCTAATTATCCGCTGACGTGTTAGTCTTAGGTGACATGACATAATAACATGACACTACTTGTTGACTACTTGATTAGTCATCCGCTGACGTGTTAGTCTTAGGTGACATGACATAATAACATGACACTACTTGTTAATGTCACGTTAACTTTCTATGATGACATGTCAAAATTGAAAAAAAAATTGGCACAAAAGACACTAATTTTAACATTAAGTTTTCATATTTTTTTTTCAAAACATTTCATTTTTTTCCAAATCAAATATCATTTTTTCTAATTTCGTTCTATGTTGACCATTTTTCATTTGAAACGCTATAAATAATTTTTTTTACATTTAAAAAACAAATTTTTTGTATACATACAATTAGTTTTTGCATTTAAACAGTAATGTTATGTATAAATATATATTATTAGAGTTGGCAATGGGTCGATCTGGGTTTGGTTCGAGTTCAGCCCATTTAATAATTGAATTGAAATTTTCAACCCAACCCAATGTTTATTTAAGTGTTCATATTCCCAACCCAATCCAACCTTTTAGATTAATGAGTTATCATCGGGTTGACCTGTTTATATAGTTCTCGGCCCAACCTATTAAATAAATGAGTTAAAATTGGGTTAACACATCTAAAATAGAATAAATTAATTAATTAACAAAATATTATATCACTTGAATTAGTTCCATACGTAAATAAAACTTCATAAATATGACAAAAACACAATCGTAATTCATAAATACAAATAAATTGTTCAAATAACATTAAAAATGTTTAATTTCAAAATGATTTTGGAGAGTGGCTACTGTTATTGGTGTTAAAAAAATGAGAATTAGGATTGAATTTTATAAAACATAAATTTAGGGTTTCGTTTCACCCAGCCAACTCTTCGAGTTTAAATAATTTTATAAAACATAAATTTAAACATAAAGTGTTTAAATAGGGTGCAAAACCATGAATTTAGGGTTTCGTTTCACCCAGCCAACTCTTCGAGTTGATACCTCCCAACTCGTCGAGTTGGTCACCAAAACGCGCGGTCCAAAACATCTCTACTCGACGAGTCTAGGGCTTCCAACTCGTCGACTTGCTCTATAAAAATGAGTAATTTATAAGTTAAATACATACCAGGAACCAGGCGTTACAATTCTCCCCCACATGTCTCAGACTTCGTCCTTGAAGTCCGTTGTATCAAATAATCCTGGATAGTGCTCCCTCTTCTCCTCCTGTGGCTCCCACGTCCACTTTTACCCCTTGCAGTGCAGCCACTGCACCTTCACTAACTGCACAACCTTGTTCCTCAAGGTTTTTGTCTTCCGATCCAGAATTGCCACTGGATTCTCAGCGTAGTTCACATGGTCGGCCACCTGAATATCCCCTAAGGGCACAACTGCAGAGTCATCCACTAAGCACTTCCGCAGCTGGGAGACATGAAAAGTGTTGTGGATCTGACTAAGCTCTTCTGGAAGTTCCAACTGGTATGCCACCTTGCCCACCCGGGTTGTAACCCTGAAAGGTCCGATATACCTGGGGTATAACTTGCCCCGCTTCCTGAAGCGAATGACACCTTTCCAAGGTGACACCTTCAGGAGAACCATATCCCCGACCTGAAACTCTAGGTCCGATCGGCGTCTGTCTGCGTAGCTCTTCTGCTGACTCTCGACCATCTTGAGTCTACTCCTGACCTGCTGGATCATCTCAGTCGTCTTGAGCACCACCTTGGTGCTCCCCATGACTCTCTGAACGATCTCGCCCCAACAGATTGGGGTCCTACATTTCCTCCCGTAGAGCATCTCAAAGGGAGGTCGGTCTACGCTAGCATGATAACTGTTGTTATACGAAAATTCCGCTAACGGAAGATACGTATCCCAACTCCCACCAAAATCTAATACGAATCACGCAGCATGTCCTCTAGAGTCTGAATTTTCCTCTCACTCTGTCCATCCTTCTGCAGGTGGAAAGTTGTACTGAAGTGGAGACGAGTACCTATCTCTTCATGGAACCGCTTCCAAAATCTGGAAGTAAAGCGAACATCTCAGTCTGACACAACCTAAATTAGCACTCCATATCGAGCCACCACCTCGCGGACGTAAATCTCGGCTAGCTTCTCCGCTGATATACTCTCCTGGATCGGGATAAAATGTGCACTTTTGGTCAACCGATCAACGATGATCCAGATAGAATCTACTCCTCGTGCGGTCCTGGGAAGCTTTGTGATGAAATCCATATTGATGTTTTCCCACTTCCACACAGGAATCTCCAACGGCTGCGTCTTGTCGTGAGGTCGCTGATGCTTGGCCTTGACTTTCCTGCAAGTCAAGCACCGCTCCACATACCAAGCTATGTCCCACTTCATGTAGGGCCACCAATAATCAGGGCGAAGATCCCGATACATCTTTGTCCCCCCGGGATGAATGGAGAATCTCGACTTGTGAGCCTCATCCATCAGAACCTGGCGCACACCTGCCAAGTAAGGAACCCAGACCCTCCGATGTAGGGTCAAGAACCCAGGGCTGTCATAATCAAATGAAGCCACCTGTCCTATGATCCGCTCACACTTTCGATGCTACTCCTTCATACCCTCGACTCGAGCCTCCCGAATCCGCTCCAGCAGTAAAGTAGTCACTTTCATCCTCAGGCATATATACCGAATCGGAGTTGCGGCCGCCTTGCGGCTAAGAGCATCGGCCACCACATTGTCCTTCCTCGGGTGATAAAGGATCTCACAGTCATAATCCTTCACCACATCCAACCAACGTCGCTGCCTCATGTTCAGATTTGGCTGATCCATCAAGTACCTCAGGTTGTTGTGGTCCGTGTAGATTGTACAATGGACCCCATAGAGGTAGTGTCGCCAAATCTTGAGGGCAAAAACAACTGCCCTCAACCCCAGGTCGTGTGTCAGGTAATTCACCTCGTGAGGCTTCATCTGCCTCAAGGCATAAGCGATGACGCGCCCTCTCTTCATCGATACTGCGCCTAAGCCCGTGATAGATGCGTCACAATACACTATGAAATCCCCAATGCCCTCTGGCAGAGTCAATATCAGTGCCTCGCACAACTTTTGCCTCAAAGTCTCGAAAGCGGCCTGCTGGTCAGGCCCCCAGCTGAATGTCACCGACTTCTTGGTCAGTCGAGTCAGTGGAACAGCAATCTTGGAGAAATCCTGGATGAATATCCTATAATAACCCGCCAGACCAAGAAAAGTCCGAATCTCGGATGGAGACCTCGGAACCTCCCATCTCATCATGGCCTCTACCTTGGCCGGGTCGACCAGTATACCGTTCTGGCTGACAAGGTGCCCCAAAAACTGCACCTCGCGCAAGCAAAACTCGCATTTGGAGAACTTTTTGAAAAGTCTCTCCCTCCTCAGTGTCTCCAGCTCTGCCCTCAGGTGCTCCTCGTGTTGCTCCTGAGTCTTGGAATACACCAATATGTCATCGATAAAAACTATCACAGACCGATCCAGCATTGGTCTGCACACGCGGTTCATGAGATCCATGAACGCGGCAGGAGCATTGGTGAGCCCGAACGGTATCACCACAAACTCATAGTCACCATAGCGAGTCCGAAAGGTTGTCTTGTGCACATCGTCATCCCTGACTCACATCTGGTGGTAGCCTGACCGCAGACAAATCTTGGAGAACCAAGATGCTCCCTGAAGCTGGTCAAATAAGTCATCAATCCTCAGGAATAATGGTTCTTCACCGTTACCTTATTCAGCTCCCGGTAATCTATACACATTCGATGTGACACGTCCTTCTTCTTCACAAACAGGATCGGGGCTCCCCATGGCGAACTGCTCAGCCTGATAAATCCCTTGTCTAACAGCTCATGTAGTTGTGTAGAAAACTCCTCCATCTCGGGAGGAGCCAACCGATATGGTACCTTGGCTATCGGAGCCGCACCAGGAACTAGGTCAATCCTGAACTCTACCTGCCTCTCCAGAGGTACCCTAGGAAAATCCTATGGGAACACGTCCGGGTACTCCAATATGATCGGTACA